AGGAGCTCTGCTTTTAGGCTTGGCTAAATCTATACTATATTAGCATAAATCTACTAGCATTCTATCACGAATGCCGTTTTCTGATTGGCTACACTACTCACTATCTATTCTGTAATAGATAGTGAGTAGCTTAGCAGTGTGCGCTTGTTAATGAAATGACGGCTGCTTCCTGGGCGTTTTCGAAGAGTCTGTGAACAGGATTTAGATAAAGTTTTGAACGACTAGTAGATTTATACTAAAACAATTAGATTATTCGCTCTTGATTTCTATGCGTGACAGTTGACTCGGGCTGCACCCTCGTCAACTATCATGCAATAGAAATCTCAAGCTCATAATCTAATTGTTTATTAAAACTGCACAGGCAAACAATGCTGATGACAAAATACTGAATGCTGTTCATACCTTTTCTTGCTGTCAGGGTTGGCTGGTTGAAATACACTTGATGCAGACATCAAATTTTCTATGTATTGTCCAAGTACCTTATAGAGAGACAATTCAAAGTAAATATATGGTTAATAATATGTACTGAACGTTGTACAATAAAAATCACTTGCAAGCACTAGGGAACAAGTTTACAACCCAAACAGCAAGCACAAAGTAGGAATTAGAAGTGTGAATATGTTCTCTGCTGGGAAAAGAATGAAAAGAATGCGCCAACATGTGCTTCACTTGTTTTCACTCGCCAACCATCCTCCATTAAAGCACCCGAGTCTGGAAGAGTTTGAACAATCCTGGAAGCTCATCATAATGGGCCATAGTTACTTTTACTAGTTAGTACGTGTATGTACTACATGAACTACATAGATACTGAAGTTAAAAGTTTTTCTACCTGGTNAAGGCAATGACGGCAATGACACATTGTTTCAAACAATTGTCACTTTAATCTGAAACATAAGCAATTTTTTGCCTTAAAGATTTTTAGTTTTTTCCCTGTTCTCGTTTGATTTTAACAACATCAATTTTTCCTTCCTCAATTGCCGCCATGTTGACTTTGTAACCACACATTGTTGTTTCCAGGCTCCATGGATATTATGCTGAGATAGCGGGCCTCCTAGCTCCAGACTCCTTTTCCAATTTTATTTTTGTTTTTTTTTTTTCCCTTTTCCAACCGACTGACCGACCCAAAATCAGAAAACGCATTCGACAGTTAACGAAGAAAAAGGGGAGGATGGCCTTATGAACCAATGGTTTGTCAAGCAAGCAAGCCGAAGGGCTGACAGTTAGGAGGGCTGCTAGCCTGCATGAGAAAAATCCCCATTCATTAAGGACAGAGCACAAGGCAAGCCAAGAATAAAAACAAAACACACAACCCCCCCAAATAGAAAAAGACCAAAACAAAAAATCCTATGGATTGTAATGCATAATTCAACAAGCTAAGGTTGCTTTGGTGCTTTAGAAAACTTCCATCTTAAACATTTCTGAAATATCTTTTTCTGAAGAAACCCCTTGAGAATTTGACAATGTCGCAATGGAAGTAAACATCAGTTTTCAGCAAGAGATTAAATAAATTAATCCGGTGCCATAAAAATTCACTTAATAGTTTGTCTACTCGAGCACCCTGATACAGCTAACAGAAAAGAAGTTTAGCTTTACAATCCTATTAAACGGAGTGTAATAACAGAAAAAGAAAACAGATTTTACAGCTAAAGTGATAATTAGTAATAAGCTGGAAGATTTTCAAATTTTAAATGAGCTGAGCATTAATTTTCAATTGCATACTTACCTACTGGTGTCTCCTCGTCGGACGACAAGGGGATTGAAACCATTTTGGCTTCTCCTTTGCCCTCTTGTTCGCTACCTGACATATCTATCAATGGAACTTTTTCAGGTAGACCGTACTTTTCTCTCAACAAAACAGCTCAACATTGTCCATCCTTGTCGATCGAGTTGGGAAATGATAAACTTGCGCCTGTAAAACTCTGCCCAGCGGCTTTCATAGCATTAGTAACCAGTCTTCCGCCATTCATCCTCTTCAGTTCTTCAAACATGGCGGAAGAAAAGGAACCTTACAAGGTTTCAGTTTTACTCGAAGGTTACGGCTACACGGATGCCGAAAAAAGGTATAGAGCGAATGGAACGTGCACTTTAGTTACTGGAAAGGATAAAAAAATTATCATTGACACTGGAAGCCCACGAGATAAGCAGCGTCTGCTCGAAAAGTTGAAGCAACACGATGTTGCACCAGAAGAGGTGAACTACGTTCTATGCACCCACGGGCATGTTGATCATGTGGGAAATTTGAACCTATTTTCCAACGCTGTGCATATGGTGTCTCATGATATTCTACAAGAACAGGACATTTACATCGATCCACCAGAAAACTTTAACAAAGGAGCACCGTTTTGCATTGATTACGAGAATGTTCAAGTTATTAGTACGCCAGGGCATACCCACTCGGATGTTAGCGTTGTAGTAAGAGGCACGGAGTTTGGAACTGTTGTCATCTGTGGGGATGTGTTTGAACATGAAGGGGACGACAATCTGTGGGAGGAATACAGCGAATTCCCTGAGAAACAAAGGGAAAGCAGAAAAAGAGTGCTGGAGATTGCGGACTGGATCGTACCGGGTCATGGTGAAATGTTTAAGGTGGACAAACCGAGAGCTTGATAAAGAAAGCAAATCCAGACGTAATAAACGTATTAATCAAGTAGCCAAGATAGTATATATATATATTATTTTATTTTTAACTCGTCAGTGGCTTAATATTTTCTCAGCTCATCAGAAATGTATTTTAAAATTAAACTTTCAAACTGCAGACAATCAATGAAAGTGAAAGAAACTGTAACAGTCTCAACAGTATTACAAAAGTCCCTAGTTCTCCAAGCCATTGTTGTCAGCTAGCATGAATGATGTGTTTTCATCTGGTTATTACATCATTATGCTGTACTATGCTTATAACCGACTATACTTGCCACTGCGTAATGCAAACATATATGTTTAATTTTTCCCTTGGTAATTTGTGTTTTCCTTTGTTCTGGTGTTTGGTATGATATATAAACAACAGCCTCCATTTGGTGTGATGTTTGTCCGCAGACATTATCTCTTCTCAGAAGCAAACAGTTTTGCGAGAGCAAAGCTCAAGGAAAACTACCAGCTTTGAGGAACAAATAATGTCCAAGGACAGATATTTGAGCAAGTCAAATAGAGGCTATTGGGTCCATTATCCTTCAAATATTTATCGCAACACAAAAATTAGGGAATATCACTCGAATATTCCCCAGTTTTAGCTGAGACACATTCAGTCATAAGGTGCTTTTAGACCAATCGCATGCAAGCAAAAATATTATTTTGATAGATTTATAATACAATATATTTGAAACAAAGGAAAATACCAAATTGTACCTAGGGTGATATCGAACCACAACATATAGCGTAAATCCTCTTTTAAGCCCCTCCCCCTCCCCCCCTCTCTAATAAGACACCCTTTTTCTAAGGAAGAAAGTTATTAAGCCCCCCTCTCCTCCACCCTTATTCCACACGATCAAGTTAATACATGATAGACTGTATTTGTATCGTAATCACAACTGTAACACTTCATGTGGACTGATCTGGTATGGTTTATTCGCGTGCTGAAAGTTCGAATTAGTTTGTTATCTTTGGCTGCATGACCTCAAACTTCATGTGCTTGAACTTTTCCATATCAGACTGCCATTGTCCTGGTCCAAACCAGGAAGTAGGTAAGCTTAACCCTAGTCTGCTTCTTCTTTTTTGATATCGGTAATGTGTTTTGCTAGGAATTAAATAAG